CCGTCGTACGATCGCCGTTTCGGCAGCGGCGGCGGCAGAAGAAGATAACGGAGCGGCGAGAGGAGAAAACGAGCGGCTTATATCCCGCGATACGGTAATACGGAATTTCGTAAGGGGCATTAACTTCCGCAATAAACGCCGCCAAGAAATTAACGGTAAAGTCCGAGGAACTTCTCGCGGCGGAAACTATTAAACCGCGCCGGGATATCGCGCGCTACTTTGGACGACAGTGCGGCCCGTGCAATCCGTTCTCGCGGGAACGGGACGATCGTATAATCCCTTTATTAAAACGCGGATTACCGTCCGGCACTCGAAATGTTGGCGTTTCATTATTCTTCCGTGCCGGGAGAAACCGGGAGAACTCGTCGTGACGGCCGAACGCCGAGTCTTCCGTGAAATTGCGTCCGATTCGGTTCGGACGCCGGGCGCTTTCCAGGAGGAGAAATGTGTATTTAATTAATTAGAAACATGAATCTGCATGTGTATTAAAATGAAGTCTCTACGTACTATATATATTTTAAAGAAAAGATAAAATCGCTCTCAATGTCAATAAAATAGATCGCCTAATTCAAATTAATTTAACTGTTTATGTGAATGAAATTGCTATATATATATATGTTTTATAATTTATAAAACATTTATATATACCTTCGTTGATGATGTTGACGTTAATTTTTAATGCAAACCGAAAGCAAAGATCGCGAGAGTCTGCTAATTGGAGCGAGTTGCAGATGATGTCGTTTGTTTGCGAGGTTGACGGAATGGTTACCACGCGTTTAACGTAGAAAGGCAGCCAATTAGCCGTCTGCATCGCGTCGAAGAAGACGCGACTCTTAGGTAAACGCAAATAAGCGGCACGGGAATTTCCGAAGCTCGCTCCTGAAACTTGAACGGACTTGAACGTAGAACGTACCACGGGGAATGACAGAGAAGGAAGGAGATCGGAGTAAAACGGAGCGGAGCAAAGCCAGAGAGGGAAACCGTAGAGAGGGACGGAATCGTCTGAGACGGATGTAAAAGAGAAAATGCAATTCGTCGCGTTTACATTTAATTAATTAGTCGGTCAATGTCGGCATCTACCGCGAACGAGACAGACACACGTTTAAATGCATTTCTTTCATCTTCCTTCGCAAAGTTGACCGTTACCGACATCAGCGGCGTGACGTTGCTGCGAGCGAGGATTTATCTCATTTGAGTAATGAACGGCACGCCAAAAGTGAAAGTCAGGTTGCAAATGAGAAAGCTTTAGACGTTAATTAATGTAGCAATCGCGATATTGAACGTTCTCATTATTCTTTTGTCTTCCTGCTCTTCAACGTAAAATGAGGGATATTTAATAATTAATACTCTAATTCAAGAAGTGTTATTTCGCCATGTATCAAATTAATTGTTATGTCCTGTATGTAAATGTAATAATGATGGTCGTTAGCAATTATTAAATTATTTAACAATTTATTTCTCAGTCGTGACTGAAATTCCAAATTAATTTAACTCGCACGAAGATAATTGTAAAAATTGGAATGCACCATGACGGTGTCTACTTCTCGAAAGGCAAGCTTATTCGTCGCCTATTTCGCTGTGGAAGATATTGAAATTTCCGGTCACATCCTCAGGAAACGACTTCCTCGTGTGTCTTCAAGCAGTTTCCAAGCGACCATTAATGCGTAACGGAGTCATTAAGCGAGATTCGTTCCTCGAGGTCGGCGCTCCTTCTGCCGTCTCGCAACTTTAAATGCGTCGTAAAATCATTCTTGATCACGTAAGCGACCCTTCCGCACCCTATCGTCTGTCTAATAATTGACGACTCTGATTAATATATTTGTATTCAGGACGTTTGTATCTAAAAGTTAACGTTTATATATAAAAGAGGAACCTCGGAGAAACATTTTGATTACATCAATGAGAATATCTTTACATAACGGCGCACTTAAGAAGGTCTAACAAACAATATGTTCCAATCAAGTCCAATCCCGATGAATCATCTAATAAGACGGAATCGAGATTCTACGAAAGATCGATTCTACATGAGGAAGACGCTTTCATGAAGCACGTTCTTCTCGACGAACAAACTTTGCCGTTGCACTTTCAACGAAAATGCCCACGCGCGACCGAATAAAGCGAGGATGTGCAATTAGCATAATGAAATTCGCCCACGGAATACCCACGGATACGTCGAACGTATCATTAATAAACGCCTCCATCAGAAGAACGCGCGCCTTCGCCTCCGTCTTTGTTTCCGAAGCGCGAAGTTCGATGTCGAAGTAACGAATGCGCGCGCTTCTTTCTCCACTGACTTTCTCGGCTTGCTCTATCATCGTCCTCTGAATAATCCACACAACATTCCCCGTCTTCCAAATTTATCCTCCCACCATCATCTTCGATTCTACGAGTAATTAGGGGGGGAACTTTATCGTCGGAAGCCTCGTCTTTCGAGTTTAGCTCGCTGTTGCGTTTCGGCACTCGGTAAAGTTACCCACCCTGAAGAAAATGCAAACTTTTAATTTATTTAAAACCCCCCACGGTGAAGCTGAAGAAAGAGCAGGAGAGCCCAAAAGTCCTCCCCTGTGCAGGAGAGCGAGTTTGGGCCCTGTATATCCTCTAAATGAATTCTTATTCGATCCCGGAATTAAAGAGCTCGCGAATGGACCCCGTCGACGCGCAAACACGTTCGTTCCCCTCTTCGCGTCAAGGGAGCAACGTGAAGCTGAAAGCCACAGGGGCATTGGAGAGGCCATGAAAAACGTCCTCCTTAGTAAAAAAAAAAAAAAAGTCGAACGGAGGGACGTACGTATCAGAAGTTACGTTTATCAGGTGAAACGTGCGGCAGTTTTTATCCCCACGGCGATTTTATTCCTCCTCGTTATTTCTCCTCATTCCTCACTTTCGCGGCATATATTCCTCTTCTGATTTTATATTTTCCTTTTCTCTTCTCGTTTCTCCTTTCCTCCGTACATCCATCGATCGCTTCGTAAACATTGATCGGGAATCAACGTGCGACTTTGAAATCCCTACGAAGAGCGCGTCTCAGATTTCCGCGCGGATTAACTTTCAGAAACGGAAGCCTGCCTTAGAAGATTACGGTCACAGCGAACAGGAAGAAGTCGGACAGGAAGAAGTCTAGAGCACGGTCAATATTGTGCACCGATTAAAATAAATCAAGATTTTATTCTACGAGAACATATCGGATAACAAGATGCATTATTTCGTATATGACATGCATCTGTGATTGTACAAGATGCAATTTTAACTTGAATTAGTTTTTATTTACCCTTAGTTTAGAATATCAGAGAATAGTAGTATCGAATTTAATTATTGCTATTACGCAATTTTATGTTTTATCCGTTTCAAATATAATTTGTATGAAACTTTCAACAGACAGGAATATTTACAGATTCGGCAAATAAATTATTCTTAATGCGATTTTCAGGAATTTTAAGAATAATAATTTAATAAGATTAATTCTCACATTTTTTCTCTTCTTATAAAATAAAACATTCAATTTTATTAAATAATTACATCGACGTTTCAACTAGACAAGGGCAATTTAATTTCCATAATTCGCATGCGACTCGTTTCATATGTAACTGTTGTTTCATATGTAAATATTAATATGCAAAATTTATATTCAATGTAAAAGAGCCGCCGAGGATCTCCACATTTCTTTGAAGATACCGGATTCGCTTAGAATTTAATACCGGTGGAGCAAAGCCAGCAGAAATATGGTAAAGGAGTTGCACGATTCACCAAATACACCATGGATTTCCCCATGTTCTTGGCACATAGTGAGCTGCTAATACATTTCTCGAGGTATCCGCCTTGTATTAAGTGGGATATGAGCTTTTTGCGCGACTGTCGGTGCTGCTTTTCGTTTGAGATCAAAGTGAATATGTCGCACATCTGTCTTTTACTATTTTTTCTCCTAGTTCTTTTCGTTTTCTCGTGTGTCTTTGTGCAAAAGGCAAGGAAAAATCATTCCTTGTAATAATCCTTTCATGTCTCTAATAAAATATGCATATATATATATATATATATATATACACACACACACACATGTTCCGTAGAAAAAAAAGAAGAAATAAATAAACATTTCTTATATTGTTTATATATTATGAAAAATGAGAAAGTTACAAATATTTTAAATTAAAATTGAAAAAAGTTGTAGCTTGTACATACATACATGTATATTTTATTTATAAAAAATATAAAATTTTATAATATATTTATTAAAAATATATAATTTTGCAGAGAAAATTCCAGTATTAAACTTGCTATTTGAAGAGTGGTAAGTGATTAATTGTATTATTAGTAATAGCTTTATATTTACTACTTTATTGCATTGTAAATAATTTATAAATTAAGAAAACAAAATGAAATAATTTGTAGAAATTTAATTGTGTCGAAAATAAAAATATTGATAGCTAGATATTAATAATGATATTAAAAAGACATGTATAATAAAGTATATGACTTTATGTTATGCGTACATTTGTAATCTCAGATAGAGAGATAAGATTTACTTCCTAAATACGTATATTTATAGAGAAGAAACGTTCACGTAAGACAATTAATCTTTCCTGATAAGATCGCACAACGGACATTGAACAAGGTTAATGCGTATCTTTGTTGCGTATTTTATTGCAGAGATATCAATAATTTTATAAATTGTACAATTAATTAATTTAGTGAGAAATCAATTACAAAAAATATTTATGTGTTTCACGTTTTGCAGAAATTTCAAAATATTTCAAATATAACACTATTTCAGTTGTGAAAAAATAAAATATAAAATAAATTAATTTCAAAATAGTTTTAAGGTCAAATGTTAACGCTGTAAAATAAAAAATTATAAATTTCTGAAACGTAAACAAATGTAATAAATCTCTTATATAAAAAATTATTAATTAAAAATAACACATAATTTAAATATAATGTGATGACAATGAATTGTAATATATAATGATTGTTTAAATTTACTTAAATTACATTAATTATTCGCAATATAATTTTCGCAATAAGTTTTATTTATTTACAAAGTATTTTATTTGTTATTTGATTCGTGAGCGAGGTTAAAGCACAATCATAAATAGCGATTTTATTACACATTACCCGTAAATTCATTTTTTAACAATGTCATCAAACATACGTATCATACGTATATTCTGTCAACAAAGGAGTTTTAGTAAAAGAAGTTTTAAAGGTTTAGAAGTGATCAATTACAGCACAAAAGAGAGAAGAAATTATCACAAGCATAACCATCGGCATATTAGATGTGCTGTAATTTGGACGAGTATTATTTATAGAATTATTACGATGTATTACCACTATTACATCTGCATCATTTAATATCCAATTCAAGTAATAAAAAACGTCTGCGTAAACTCCTGGCAAACGTGGCAAAGCACATCCTTCTCCGCCTGACACAATACCTGTCAATATTCCATTGCAGACCATTGGGCCACCCGAGTCACCCTGCAGATTAAGGAATATTAAAAAAATTGTAACATCAATTTATCAATTGATGAAATCACGTTAATTATGGATGACTAAATATGGTAAATACGAAAAAACACATTACTTGGCATGCATCCCTTCCACCCTCAATGTAACCAGCGCAAAACATTCCAGCTGGTAAATCTGTTACGTTTATGAGTAATTCGCGACATTCGTCAACTGTTCGTACTGGCAAATCCACAAACATCAAATCAGTAGATATTATCGGGAAATCCTAAAATATTATAAGCGTGCTCTAATCTTAAATTGAAACAATTTTTTTTTTAATCAAGATATTTACGCACAGATGATGGGTATCCCCATCCGGAAACTTGGCAGATCGTGTGAGGTACAGGTGCATCCAATGGTAAGGGTACACTTTGAAGTTCCGGAATAAAATTAAATGGTACCGACAGCTACAAAAATCAAACATGGATTACGCTTATTCTGGAGATTACAGGAAAATGCGATAAATTTGTAGAACAATCATACTTTCAAAACAGCAATATCATTGTACAAATTATCAAGATCAAAGTTCGGATGAAGTCGAATTTTCTCCACACCCCTTTCCTGCCGCGACGAACGTTCGTCGAAGAGATGTACAATTCCTCCAACGACGAGGATTGTCCATGGTTCGATTATGCTTCTAGAACTACATAATTCCAGAACTATATAATTAACTTGCTTCTTACCTTAATTTAATAATAATTGATTTTATTTAATTATAGACTTCAATTTTTGGAGTTCTTATTCACTATGTGTACGAGTTAATTAATCGGTTGATAAAAATTTCATAAAGAAAAAATTTTTGAATGTAGATTAAAATCTCAGATTATAGAAATATTGTTAAGTGTTTGTTACAAGTGTCTGTCAATGTTTATCATATAATGTACTGTCATGTTTATCATATAAATACAAAGCTAACAATAGTTTTAAAATCACATTTAAAATCTTCATTGTAGATATTAGATTAAGATATCAGTTTGAAGTTGCCTTGACTTACAGAAACATGCAATGCCCAGCAGTTAGAACTAAGGTCGAGCTTATCACACTTCCTCCGCAAAAATGTCGTTTAGTCCAGCTGCGCATCAAAGATACCTAAATAAATAAAAAAAAATAGCGTTTCTCTTTAATCAAAAACTGCATTAAATTAAAAATTTTTGCGAAAATAATACCTGATGAGGGAATTGCCCCAAAGCAGCCTTTGTTCCGTTAACTATGCGACCAGTTAAACCAAAAGTCGACGGCTCCACGCCATAAGTAACAAAAATATTAGACGGCGAGCCTGATATACGAATTATAATTGTTATGATTATTAGTGTACATTGTTGTAAAAGAAAATTCCGATAAATGCAAAATAAAAAGGGCTTTATTAAAGAAGGGCAAAATTTACTATAACTCTGTATAATTATGACGTATGAATTAAGTTTTCGCGTTATTCGTTACAAGCGCAAAACCTATTTTCCAGAACGTACACAAACCGCGCGATAATTATCGGTGAGTTTAATGAAAAATTAATTAACCGTTGCAATTTTATCCGAGCGTAATTAATGCTCTCAACCTCGCTCTCATTGCGAGCACTCACGATGTGCGTATTTTAATACAATAATGCATACTAATGTACCGTGCAAAATTGTTTGCTGCCCACGCCTGAATCTTTCCAATTTTAGAAACAAACAAGAATAACCAGAAACGCGCGCGAACGTACATTGCATTTTTTTTACACTTCACAAAGTTGGTTTCGAAATCGAGATGTATGTAATTTCTTTTCATTCTATACTTACCATAAGCAAAATATGGAATTACCAGAAGCATCAACAGGAGTGACGTAGCCCGCATTGTTCTTCACGATTCACTTCGTCGCTGCCAAAGAGCGACTGCCCGCTAGCAGTCATGGCATATAAAAAAAATTTGTTATCGGAGCATGGTCAGGTAAAGCCTTTATCGTGGCTTTATCCGTTATCAGTTATCGGTTACTATCTCGCGTTAATTGAGATTGGATTCCATATGACGTCAATTAATGGTATATTTTTACACGCTCATGGAAATTCCATTATTATCTCAATTCAAATCCCTTTTCTAATTACTTTACTATTTTTTTTACAACATTACTTCTAGTAGACGACCCTTCTGATATACTTTACAAAAAAATTTCTATTGTCGGGATTTTTCTTTTTCCTGATAATTCGAGTGATTTGTTTACCAATATTCTTATGGAAATTTCACTATTATTGCAATTCAAATCTTTTTTCTAATTACTAACTTTTTTCTACTTTACTATTTTTTACTACTTTTATGTTTGATACACTTTACAAAAAACAGAATTTTTCTTTATCCTGATAATTGTGATGATTTGTTCACCAATATTCTTTTTCCATCGAAATAGTATGCTTATAACTACGATGTATTAAATTACAAAAAATTATATGAGCAGCGATAACATCGACTGATAGAAAATTGTGTGCTATATATATATGCAAAATTGCGACATCACCGATAACGGTTTTAAACGATATTGCGACGTCGAGGGATCAGAGAGTGAAGCGTGACAATTCCACAAACTCCTACACTTCTAGACTGCTAACTCTTTACGTATAAGTTTATATATCGTGAGTCTAGAATGAAAGAGAATGTATGCACATGATGTATGCGCATGTGCGACAAAAGTAATATAAATATAACCTTTTCAACATTTGTGCAATGTAGAATTCATAAAGAATTATAAAACAGTTAAGAAAAGGATAAAAATTTTAAAATTTAATATTAATATTAATGGAATATTAGATAATGAAATGTTATAGCAATTATTTATAAGTAAAAGATCTGATCTTATTCGATTTTTTCTAGAATTATTACTTATATTTAATAATAAAAACTAAGTGACAAAATATTTCTTTGTAATAAAAACTGTTAAAAACTGTTAAAAACGTGAATTAAATCCAAAGTAGCTATAATAAATGATTGATATGATTTGTTTGGTTTTTTTATTTTTTTTAATTCTGTTCTTTTTTAATAATTTTAATTAACTTTACATTTTGATTGGTTATTTATTCTGATTTATTATTTTGCTATTATAGGTTTTTGTTTGCATTCCCATTATTTCATTTTCTAATTCTATTCATTTTATAATTTCAAAATTATTTATAATTATAATGCTGGTTAAGTGTGCCTTTTCAACTTGTCATAATACAAAAAGTAGGGACAAGCTCAATTTTTTTAAATATGAATATTATTTATTTTAAAGAAATAAAGATTATATCAAAATTATTAAACTAGTAAACTTAATTTAAACTAAAAAATATTTTTTTCAGATTAAATGAACATATGCTTTGTACACAGTGGGTAAAAGTCGTGAACAAAAAAGATTGGATAGCAACAGCATCTAATAAAATTTGCAAATAACATTTTAAAGTAAATTATTTTTATAATTCATCAAAAATAAAAAAGTTAAAGCCTAAAGATATTAACATACTTAAAATGCTTCATGAAATTTAACTAATAATAACAGTATTTTCTAAATATATTAAAATACGACTATATTTCTTATGCAAAATTTTATTTACAAGAAATTTTAAAACCAATACAGAAACTTCAAAAACTGATCAAAACAATATTAATTTTAAGAGAATAATCTTTTATAACATTTAACAGTTTTTAAAATTTAATATATACAAATATAAGTTACAAATATATGTATAAAAAATCACAAATGATCAAAATAATTTATTAAAGTATGTATTCAAAATATGTAAACTTTTCGTCTATCATACTTTTAAATTAGATTAACCTGTCGAAACCGCCGATTACTGATGTATGCGTACGTGTCACTCTCACGACGCATGCGCTATGAAAGTGCCCAATTTATACATAAGAATTGACATTACTTATGCATAAAGAGTTAGCAATCTAGGAGTAGAAGTTTGGGGACAATTCTTTCGGAAGTCGATGAAATTACCAAGTAGGATAGATAGAAATGTTTCTGGAATTGACAGAAATTTTAAATCCCACACATCGATGCCGAACCGAGATATCAGGCATCAACGACAAGAGCGAACCGGGGATAATGAAATTCTGGAACGGAGGCTATTTCCGGCGGCCAACTGCAGCGGCCGGCTGCAGGATATTCGTTGAAGATGGCGCTAAACTGCGAGTCGTGCGAGTATCCAATATGCAAAGTGGTTGGTAGCCGTTCAGTTCAGCCACTATCGACGTAAATTACCGGGATATCGTTGTTCCTTCCTTCATCTTCCCCTTCATGTCATGTAAGCGGGAGATCGGCTGCCATCGACAACGAAAAGAGAGATAAGAAACGACAGATATAGAGAAGAAAAGAAAGATATTTATTCAAAAGACGGAATAAACGTAAAGAAAAATTATTGAAGATGCAGGAAGAATTCATAAATAACATATCAGAATAGGGAAAGAAGAAAGAATAGCATATTAAATTGAATTAATCTGTTATGTTCCATCGAGAGATATATCATTTTTTTTATCGTTAAATGTGCGATTGCATTTCCACATTTAATACTATTGTATACCTAAATTTTTTTATTTAACGCATTTAACGCGTTCTCTTTTTCTGTGCCTCTAAATTATTATCTTTTTCTAATACTAGTTTTATATTTAAATATCTGAATTTCAATATATAATATATTTAACATAAATAGAAAAAAATTATCCGAGCATTTTTAATATTTGAACAATTTTATATACACGTATTTTTATCACTTGGCTCTGAGCATGAATTCTCCTCATCCTGTAAAATTTGTGTATTTATATTTAATAATGAAGTATATACGTCTTTCTCAGCTACAAATATATATCACGCGATAAATTTAAATAATCCCATTTGAAATCACGACAGAAGAACTTTAAATATTACATTATCCCGATAAAGATGCAGCGAAAGTAAAGAATATATATCTTGTTATGTTCATGACGTTCTAACTGTGAATGACGAGACGTTTCCCGAGGATAATGAGAAATTCAAATTCAACGATACGACAACGGGGAGGCGGTAGAAGAAAGTGGGACAGAGAGTCATCGTCGAGAGAGGGCTGGCAAGCGGGGCAGAATGTATAGGGCTGATAGGAGTCGCCATTACCCATCCTCCATGTTAAGCCAACCCCTCCGCGTACACGCAACCCCTATGTACAATCTCCGCGTGTCCAACGTCCAACGGGCCCGTCGAGAAGCCTCGGGCGTTGTCTACCGCAGAATCACCGTTCGATCGGTCCAATCCTCAGAAGCGCCACACGATCGTGAGAGTACACACGCATCCGGATGTACACCGCTCGGTTTAATATCGGCTCGGGGGTGGTGGCCTGCTGGCCAGCGAGCTAACAACGGCCGACATGCTCGTAATTTAGTCCTTTCCCAGGTAGCTTTTTGCGCGAACGACGAGCCCGTCCTTTTCGTCCCGCAAACCTACGGGCTTGCCACGATGCGTAGGTAGAAATGTCACGAAGCGGCAAATCAGATTTATCCGCAAGCGAGCTGGCTCAATATGGTGGCTATCGCGGAGCAACAATGCGGCAATAATACGAAATCCCCGCGCGCGCAGATAACATCTCGGATGAAAAGGGGGTACGCGGATATCTGTGATACTCCGCATGCGCAGCAGGTATGCTTTTGATGTATCGATATTTTATCGCAATCATGGGCTAATTAGTAACGCATGGGAAGCGTTAGTAAATAAATCGCGGGTAGCATCCCGACGGACGCATTTTGGGCATCGAATCTCTATGCGAAATTATTGCGAAACGCGTTTCCCCAGTGTTACACGGCGTGTATTTTCACCGTGTATTGTATGCCTCGCAAGAAATATATGATTCAGCAAACTGGAAAATTAGATAAGCAGCATGAATTCAAATCAAGTAATTAGAACTTTTTATACGAATCGAGCATACGATAAAGATGAAAAGTGATAAAGTGGAATATTTAGTTTTCTCAGATATTCCGTTATTGCATATCATTTATCCATGTAAAATAATGTCGTAATAACTTATTTCTGATAACACAATCGTAGTTTAAGGTTGCAGCTATAATTATTGAATATAAACTGGAATATAGTCTGGAATATCGAGGCGAACCAATGAGATGATATTCAAGCGAGATTTAAAATCCCTATTTTGATCTTTCATGATACTTTCTGAAACGACTTTCGTCCCCTCTTTCTTCTCTCTCAGTCTCTCCCGTCTCAGTCTTTCTCTCTCTATCTTTCTCTTCTCCTTCGATCGCCCGCTGCCTGTCACTTCCTCATCGCCCTAGTAGTCTCTCTCTCTCTCTCTCTCTCTTTACTCGCCTACGTAGTCTCTCTCTCTCTCTCTCTCTCTCTCTCTCTCTCTCTCTCAGTCTTCCTCTCTTCTCTCTTCTCCTCTCCAGGTGGCTTTCCTTCTGGGTCGGGACGTGCCACCTCTTCTTCACTTCTCTCAGCCGCGTCGCGGAATCATTCTCGATGGAACCGTGGATAATGTTTATGAGATGTAATGATAAGGAATGCTACCTGCGGCTGATGGTCACGATCTTGCGAGCGGAGTTGGCAGGTATTGTATTCCTCAACTATTATTTAGTCACGGAAAGCGCACAATTTTGCATAGTCGTCTTCTCCGCCTCAACAAAAATTCGCCGCAGTCATCGATTCTCATTTGCCGACCGCACTCGTTAATAATTTATCGGGTCGCTTGTTACGATTCTGACATAGCGATGATTTATCGCTAAATATGCGAATTTATCGTTAACGCCCACCGTATTCTTATAATAAACTGTGCGATAATCGCGTACCGGTTTGACCGGTCATGCTAACGCGCAATTGATAAAACTCTATTTCGTCGAAATCATCAAGATCTCGTCGACTTTTGTGTCTTATAATGTTACTCCAAACAAATGATCAAGCTGCA